AAGGTAAGCTGATTGAGGAAGATCGACATGTGACATACCGCAAAATTCAGGCAACTTTAGACATTGGCATGAGTTAAATACAAATAATATTGCATGAACAATTAGGTGTAAAAAAGTTGTTTTCCCGATGGATACCGCATTCACTCTGTGAAGAGCAAAAAAGCGGCTCGCGTTACTTGGTGCGTCAGAACTCTCGAAAGATTCCACGCAGGATCCTCAAATGCTGTATACAACATCGTATCAGGTGACGAATCCTGGATATACGCGTACGAACCCGAAACAAGAAACCAGTCACGAGTTTGGGTGTTCGAAAATGATTTAAAGCCAACAAAAATTGTTCGTTCACGGAGTGTTGCAAAAAATGGTGGCCACGTTTGTCTCCAAAACCGGCCATGTTACGACTATTCCTCTTGAGGGACAAAGAACGGTTAATGCAAAATGGTATGCTAGCATTTGTTTGCCACAGGTCGTTTCTGAACTCCGTAAAGAGAACTGCAACCGCCGCATGATACTCCATCACGACAATGCGAGTTCTCACACCGCACACAGAACAGAAGAGTTTTTAGAGCAAGAAAACATACAATTATTAGACCATCCGCCGTACAGCCCCGACCTAAGCCCTAATGATTTCTATATTTCCCTAAAATAAACAATAAATTGCGTGAACAGAAATTTTCATCACCTGAAGAAGCTGTGGACGCCTACAAAACGGCCATTTTGGAGACCCCAACTTCTGAATGGAATAGTTTTCTTCAATGATTGTTTCCATCGTATGGAAAAATGTGTTAAATTTCGCGGAGAATACTTCGAAAAGCAATAAATACATTTTTAAATAGTAACTTCCTTGATTCCCGAAATTTTCAGTGCCGCCCTCGTATTAAGGTCATTGAGCATAGTGCTTAGGTCCTCCAGCGATTCTGCCGTAAGGACTATATCGTCTGCAAATCGAAGGTGAGTGATGTACTCGCCATTGATGTTAATACCGTATCCTTTCCAGTCCAGTAGCTTGAAAACGTCTTCCAATGCAGCGGTGAAGAGTTCCGGGGATATAACGTCACCCTGTTTTAAACCTCTCTGCAATCGGATAGGTTTCGTAATCTGGTTGACGGATTCAACTCGGCTGGGCGGCGTTCGGGAAATTACGACACATCTTCTCGTCAGCTATACCTCAAAACCTGAAAACGAGACTGTACAACCAGTGCGTGTTGTCAGTGATGACCTATAGAACTGAGACATTGTCCTTCACTGTCGGCCGTATGAGGACGCTCAAAGTCGCTCAGCGAGCTATGGAGAGTGCTATGCTCGGGGTTTCTCTGTGTAATAAACTTAGCAATAGGGATACCGCAATAGAACCAGAGTAACCGACATACCCCAACCCATTATTAATCTGAAGTGGCAATGGGCCGGCCATATACCTCGAAGACCTATAACCGTTGGGGAAAAAAGGTTCTCGAGTGGAAGCCTCGTACCGGTAGGCGAGGTGTAGGGTGACCCCCCACTAGATGGAGTGACGACATGGTAAGACATGCAGGAAGTCGATGGATGTAGGTGGCTCAGGACCAGGCTTTGTGGCATACCTTGGGGGAGGCCTATGTTCAGCAGTGGAGTTGTGAAGGGCTGTAATGATGATGATGATGAAAGTGATACTGTGTGTATGGTGGGATTGGAAAGGCATCGTTTGTTAGGAGCTTTTACCGCCGGGCGAAACCATCGATTCGGATCCCTACTGCCAACAACTAATGAGACTCAAGTAAGAAATTGAAAAATTGAGTGGTCTTTTCGTTTGGCCACTCAGCAAAAATTGAAAAAGCTGGGTTGGAAAGTAGAAGATCGATATTTTTCATCACTAGCTGCTGTACAAACTACCTACACAGTAACCCACTAATGACGTTGGCCGAGCTCGGAGTGAGTAAAAGTGTATCTGTATTTAGTAAAACGCTGCTCAAACACCGAAAATTTCAGACTTTCTCAGGCAAAAAAAATTAATTATAACTAATCAAAACAAAATTAAACAGCCATTTACATTCCATGGCTTGTGGGAAGCCAGATGAAGCCAGATAGAAGATAGATGAAGAGATTGAAAATAGATTGAGTTGAACAATTAATATTTTCAAACGTTGTCGTGTTTACGCGTCATGCGGACTTGATAAATCTGCACTATATAAGAAATTAAATAATCATTTATCTTTCTGACAATGTGATTTTTATATCATTTATATGTTCAATATGATTGTTGGATACGATTTCATGCGACAAAACGTTGGGATTCTTGATTTTTAGGCGCTAGTAGAACATATCTACGCGCTTTTCGCTTAAGGCATGCAATAAATAAAATAAATAAGTAGAAGAGCAAAGATACACAGAGGACATGCGACGTGCAACACGGGAACGGTCAAGGACAAACTGGCGATGGCTAATGGTGATCGATGGCGATCTCCGTCCCGAATCGCGACCTGAACTCCCGAAGGCGTAGGCGCACTGACTGTACCAGTTTTACATTTACATTCACCGCTATGGCAATAGCACTCTTACTATAAATACTTACAAAGAAATGTATGGCGCGTGTTCACTATTACATAATATACTTAGTATACTTATAACATATTTTACTTTCACCGTGTATTGATATTTAATTTCATAATTACACATCAGTAAAATATGTACAATTTTTATTAACAATCAAATATCTCTTAATTTTTAATAAAACTTACAGTAATAATAACTTAAAATTGAAACATGGGTGTACAAAACATGGGTGTATGGTTGTTGGCAGATATAACATAAAGATGTATTATTATTATAGTATCTAGCTTTTTCATTAAAAGAATGAATTCTTCAAAATTTGTCAACGAGGGAGTAGGACATATGATAATCACTATTGTCATGTAACGGTGTTCGCAACTTTTGCTTAAATTGAATTATTTTTAAGTGCTTTATATGTCTACGTATTTTGTTGTAAGTTATCGGAACCATGCAAAATAAGCTTTTTCTCGTAATTACATTAAAAATCGAGATAACACTAAATTAAAAGTTGTTGCAGATGGTTTGGTGTTTGTATGAAGTCTACGCAAGTACTGCAAGGAGCTGTCCTATTGCAATCGCTCGCACGACGATGCGATGCAATTTCATCGTCCGATGAATCCGCACGTGCGATTTCTTCAGTCGCATCGCATGATCGCACGACGTTCAATAGGACATTCTGCAGATATGAGTTTGTTAAATGCACGGTCGCGCGATCATTTTCGTGGGACGCAATGCATGATCGCGCGAGCGATGGCAATAGGACAGCGCCTTAGCCGTTATAGCGATAATCACTGCTTGACAAAGCATGTCACAACCGGCTTGCTTTTAGTTAGTGTGTTGTGTAAAGCTAGTTCTTTATATTATGACTTGTTAGATGTTTACACTGTGTCTAGCGTAAGCAGTACTCTAGCATTAAGTGCTGAAATTTCATATAAAATTTTTATTGGAATCATGAGCAAGTAAGTGTGATGTTAACAGTAGCATAAGTGAAGGATTTTTGCATATTTCATGCGATGAATAATACATAGTCATCTACGCGTTTTCTCAATTATCCTTCCACAATTCTTATCATACCTATATAGTTTTTTGAATTTCCTGTTTATAAACGCTGTTCTAACTTTATTTATTATGGCAAAACCTACAAAAAATGTCGAATTAAAAAAACCTGTTCATACTCATCATGCTGAGTAGGCGGGTCACTGAGTCCATGTTCTTGCAGACTATAACATTAAGTTGCTCACCATTGCAAGTCCGTGGGATTTGCTTGTTTGGATATATTTCCTTTCGGGTCTATATTTGTCATCGGTCATCACAACTTCATTCGATAAGATCATGATTTGACCATATTTGCAATGTAACTCTACTTGTATTTATAAAGGAAAAGAAACGGTCGTCAGTTCGAAAGTATATTGCGTATGCATTTTTGACGTGGTGGAGCCACGCTGCAGCTATATTGTGGTTATAACACGAATGGGTCGGCTCGATCGGGGAAGGACCACGTACTCACAGGATACCAAAGTAAAGTAGCAGCTTAATCCTTCTGTGTTACGTATGATGAGTGCAGAGAACCGGAGAAGCCGTTTACTGGAATCGATGCATTCCATCTAAGTCCTCAGGGGTAATAACGCATCTGCATTTTAATTTTTAATCGAGGAAAGTTGTAGATGTCTATGGAAAACAACATCTTACTATCAGATGGGCTTTGTGCTCATTTGTCACCCTTATACCATGAAAAATCATGTGCCGCCCCGTCACTGCCGTTGGTTTAACGTGAAACGTTTATGTTAGGAGTAGCTTTTAGTGTTAAATAAGTAAGAGAGCGCCGGTTTTGGTCAATCTGCGCGATGCCCCTTCCCCGCCAACACACCCGGCCTTGATGCAAAGTCAAGGTCATAGTAGTCGTAACTATCGTATTAGTAAAATAATGACATTTTAGGTATCTAAGGTATCCGTAACAGTTTATAAAAGTCCACTGCTGTATGCTTTTACAAAGATTGCCTCATTAGGAGGATATTGCCATAGTTGCCACGCTTTGCAGGCAAGCGTAGCAACCTTAGTTTTTTAATTATTTGGCCTGGGTCTGGCTGGATTTACCTTTTAGGACATTCACGGGGCGATTTTGGTGTAGTGAATGTTCTTGCACCGTCACGATACGGTTAGGACTAACAGTTTTGTAATTATCAAAGCAAGACGATATAGACCTTTTTGGTTCACTTTATTGACCTAGTATCTTTATGTTTAGATGTTAAAAGACGTTTCACGTCAAAAATAATTGCAAAGGCACAAATTGTCTTAAGCCTGGTCTTTTGAAGTGATGTGGAGAATGTTTCTAAAGTATTGGTGTGCGTTTACAGTAATCCAATTGATTAGTTCAATCGTTGAGCTAGTGAGGCTGTTTTCCCGGTAGTTTAACAAATTTGAATCCCCAATAAGAGTTGTCTAGAGAAAAAAAATCTGATTTCATTGTAATACGGCAGCATTTTCGGCAAGGGGCAGTGCGAGGAGACACCAGTTGGCTCAGTCAACTTGTTAGATGACACACTGTTGGAGTCACCTGGCTCTACTGCACCTCACCACATCCCGCCCAGGTAAGCATTACCACAATGTCCTCCGGTCAGATGTTCGATTACGGCGGTCGGTCTTAACGGAGGCTAGCTAGTTGTTTAGGGACAGGATTATAATGCTCAAGTGCGCATGCACAGGGGCACTCTTTATTCCTTCGTTCTTATAGTCTGATAGGACGGTACGTCGCTACCCGAGAGAGATCGGGCGCGAGACCGACCGACTCTGGTCTGCAACTGAGAACTTCCCGATAGAAAAATCCAATAACTGATTTTGATGTGACCCGGGGATTAGAGCTCGGGATATCATTATTGATAGTATTTACAACCGCTAGGTTAACGAGATCGTTAACACTAACTATGGATTGCTTTTCAAAAAAATTAAATTAATTTTTTTTAAAGGCAGTCTATGAATTAAATATAGTAAAAAATTTAATTAAATCGTATTAATTTAACTTAATTTTTATGGTCGAGAGTTTTTTTTGAAGTAATTTCCATACGTTTGAATGATTCTGAAACCGAAAAAAGGTTTAATTTTTATGATTACAGTGAGCTTACAAAGGTGGTGCCTGTAGAATGTGATTTCCAAAGCTACGTGAGAAGAAAAACCATTTTAAAGGATGGTAGGAAGATATCTTTGTCATCATGGCAGCGTTTCTGGTTGGAGCTGACGGGAACTGCGCTTGTGTTTTACGCTTCCAAATCATTTAAAGGGTTTGTTCATTTCGTACCGCGTATACCGTGCGTGTGACGGTGCTTACGCACGAGCGCGCGTGTGTGTGTGCGTATGTGTGCGTGTGCGTGTGTGTGTGTGTGTGCGCGCGCGCGCGTGCGTGTGTGTGTGTGTGTGTGTGTGTGTGTGTGTGTGTGTGTGTGTGTGTTTGCGTGCGTGGGTGCGTACGTGCGTGTGTATGCGTGTGTGTGTGTGCGTGTGTGTGTATGTGTGTGTGCGTGCGTGTCGTGCGTGTGTGTGTGTGTGTGTGTGTGTGTGTGTGTGTGTGTGTGTGTGTGTGTGTGTGTGTGTGTGTGTGTGTGTGTGTGTGTGTGTGTGTACGCGCGCTATGTAGCGGCTATACGTTGCGGTGTGTGCAGGAGCAGTCGCGGCGACTTCCGCACGGAGCGATGCAAGGTGGTGTCGCTGGTGGGCTGGTCGGCGACGAGCGCGCGTGGAGACGCTCCCGACTGCTTCCAGCTGCTGCACCAGCGCGCCGCCACGCTCTACAAGTTCAAGTTAGCATCCCCACCACATATAACAATACTCAACACCCGACCCCCTCGTGAACATCACAGCATTACACTTCACGTATTACACGGTTCAATGTACGGGCGACGACAACGCATAATGCGCGGAACGATTTGAGTACACCGTATAATTTATTCAAATTTGGAAGTTAATTACACTGTCTACAAACGTTAACTTTGTATTGTGGACACAGGCCTCCCGTAATTTTTGGAACGGTTTTTAATAAAAAAGTGTGGATTGCGTAAAAAGCAATTATAAGTAGTACCAGTAAAACATAATTTCCGATATATAACAGTATAACTATTGCTTTTAAGCAATTTCTCATTCTATTGACATTTATGAGCTTAAAAACTATTCAACACCACAAGACAAAACAAATCTTTGTACAACCCCAATCATAAACGCGATTGCAGATATTTTTGACGACTAATACTATTTTAATATAACATGGGGAAAATGAGTATGTAGCACACATAACGGTAAGTGACTACTGTCGCCCAATAATTACTTATTTTACGTTTTTTTATATAGGATAGGGTGACAAACGAGCACACAGTCCACCTGATGGTAAGTGGTTGCTGTGGCCATAGATATCTACATCTATTCTAGATTTCGAATCAAAATGCAGATCCGTTGTCACCCGTGAGGACTAAGATGGAATGCCTCGTATCCAGTAAAAAGGTGGTTCTCTACACTCACCATACGAAACACAGCAGAATCAAGCTACCATTTCACGCTGGTATTCTGTGAGAGCGTGGTCCTTCCCCGGTCGAGCCGACCCATTCGTGCTACAACTAAATTACTAATATAACTGCAGCATGGCTTTACCACGTACGTAAAATACAATAGAAATCTCTTTACTTTTTTCCGTTATAGAAAATGACAGATACTACAAACTTACATGTAATACGATCCCAACACATCAGTTTTTGCTCCTTTTATATCCATACATCTTACATACTACTCAACTAAAGTCCTTAATTTGACTTATCTTTGACATATCACCAATTTGACGGATAAAACCCTAAGTCATCCCCTACCAACACTGCTGCGCTCACTCTTTCACTTCCACGGAATAAATTACCTTTGTCACTCTTTCTTAAATTACTCTTTTATTCTTTCTACATGTGTAAACCACCGAAACATTCCCTTCTTACTCTTGTCTAAACATCTATTTTATTTTTCAAAATATCGCGTAGGCATCAGTTGTTATATAAATAATTTAGATAAACCTTTATACAAAAATCAAGACAATGGTTCACCTACATTGTGACCACTTGACTTGACCGGATATAATATTGAAAATTGTCTAACAATCCTTTTTTATAGATACTCTGTTCTATAAACATCCACATCTGTCCTCGATTAAGAATCCAAATGCAGACACTTTGTTATACCATAGGACTACGATGGAATACTTTGTTTGCAGAAAATCGGGTCACTCGTACGCTACGCTAACCGTACCAAAAGCATCATTAAGTTGTTATTTCACGCTGATATTCTGTAAGAGTTCTGCCCCGGTCGAGTGTAACCCATCCGTGTTACAACAATAAATTAGCTACAGCGTGGCTCTACCACGTAAATATTTGCGTTTAACTTTCAACGTTTGTAAATTTGTTGCAGGACTGGATCTGAAACGATAGCAAAGCAATGGGTGGTAAAGATAGAGGAGGTGACCAGCAAGATGGTGAAGCCGCTACCCGCTAACTTAATGTCTTTCGAATAGTCATCGGGTGCGTGCTTGCGGGGCAAGTGCGTGCGTGCATGTTGAGTTTTTAACACTTAAGTGAGGCCAGCGATCGAACACGCTCACAAAGGTTAAAGCATTCACAAACACACATGGAATCTGTCATCTTTAACTGTTGAATTAATAATACGTCATTTTCTGATGCAGTCCGATTTTATGTGAGCTAATCAACAAAGTGGAATACTTGTTTAACAAAATTACGTACAAAAATTTGAAAAAAAGTTAAATGTTAATTCTTAAATGTTTATCTCAACGGTAGTGTACTAAATTACCAAAGAAGGAAAAGCTAAAGCGTTTCTTGTATGTTATGCACAAATTCACTGCAGTTGTACTCTTGTACTGTTTCATATGAGACTGTCATTTCAAATAATGTTGAAAATTCAACGTATACTGGTATTTTATAGATCTGAATGAAGGTGCAGTCTTAAAACGTGTGAAATGCTATTGTCTAGTTTCATTCGTTTTCAAAATATCTTTAATAAAAGTGCTGTCAAAAATCACATATCTCGAGCTCGGAAATCGCTTGGTAGAATTAAACCGGAGACGTTAGTTCCTAAAAAATCTAAATTCACATATACGTACGAGTATGTACAACTTATAATGTATAAAAAGGCGAAGTACGTAATAATTTTGCGAATTTGATTGCTTACACTTCTTAACATAGTTTATTTCCGGGCGATTGATTTTGGCTTAGGGACCAGCTTAGAGATTATAAATAAAAGTGCACACGTACTCTAACGGCTTTCCTTTTCGCGAGTGCATTTGTTTGTAATTCTAAATTCTGCAATAAAAGCTGTGATAAACACTATATTTACACGGTAGAGTTATGTTGCAGCTATATTATGGTCGTAGAACGAATGGGTCGGCTCGACCAAGGTAAACATCTCTCACAGAATACCAGTGTAAAATAGCAGCTTAATGCTGGTATTCGTATGGTGAGTGTATCCTTAGTTCTCAGGGGTGACAACACTTAATCAAAGACAGATGTCTTTGGGCCACAGCGTCCACTCACTATCAGATGGGCTGTGTGTTCGCTCGTCACTCATATACTATAAAAAACGCTGGTCCAATACTCGGACTCCGAGAGTTATTTCGGCTGCGATTTGTTAATAAACTAGTCCACTGCGATAGATGTACATTGAAGCTACGTCGCTTAGAATGTAATGAGCTTTGTGGGATCATATCACGTTAGTTCTTATTGTATCATTCACAACGCGTTTTATTGTAAGACTCCATACATATAACTTTTAAATTATGTACCTCGATGTTAGGTTATTATTAGAGATGCGCCGAATATTCGTTTAACATTCGGTATTCGGCGTGTTCGGCACCTTATTCACTATTTTTATTCGGCCGAATTATCCGGTTTTGGTGCAGAATATATTCGGTTCAAGTATTTCAATTTTCTTACCTATTTATTGAATAGCCTGTGTTTCCTTCCAGTCAACTTTTATTTAGGCTTCAATAAATGCAATAACCTTCAAAAAAAGAATGTCGGTCGTTCATCTCGGTTTTTTTCCGGTGTTTTTTCTTGTCCTTCTTTTTTTCTGTAAAAAAGTCCCAAGAGTTATTGTAATCAATGTTTTTATAATAATAAACACATTTGTTTTTAATTATAATCGTGCAATGTTTCGAAGCAAAGTGGCAGAGCGCGGTGCGCGCAAGTAGTAACCTGTTTACGCGGCAAAGCAATGAAGCCGCAAACCGAATAATTCGGCCAAATATTCGGTTTGGTACAGGTTAAACCGAATAGTATTCGGTATTCGGTTATTCGGAAACCTCACTATTCGGCGCATCTCTAATTATTATCATTGTAATTTTGTATGTTTTTATATTATACATTGTTGAAGTCGTAGCAGCAGGTTATGTTATTTTATTTGAAGTGCTTAAAATAAACCTGTGTGAAACATACCCGCAGAGCTATCCACGACTTTTTCTGCCATCTGAACGGCGCCATTTTGGATTGAGGTGGAATATTTGACAGAATTCATAGTGAGGAAGTTTCTTTTTGTAATTTTAGTTTTATTACGTTAAAAATAAATAAACTACTAAACTATGGATATTCCTAAAAGTACTTATAAAAAGAGTTAACATGAGTTAATGAGCAAACCACTGAGGCATTGATTTATGTATTCATAATTATTCTAGAAACTGATAAACATTTATTTAAAACTATTCTCAATTAAAATACACTGCGTAACAAGAGCTTCACCTCAGTCCAAACTAGCGACATCCGCCTAGAGGAAGATAATTAGCCGTCGTTAGTTTCTGTAGAGTCTTGCGCACGCGGACCGTACGCAAGTATGTGAGTCATCTAATATTGTACAAGACCTGCCTTAATTTAGGAATAGTATTACACTTTAATTATTACTAATATGTATTAGGCTAAATTCGAAACGTGTTTACTGTTTTCTACCTCCTTCCATAGACTTGAGAATTTGCATTGCCAGTTTACTTTGTAGATTTGTAGACGATTTAACCTACCAGAGTTTACGTGCAGAAAACGACGCGCTTGCTTTTCTTTAGATCTATAATTTTAGTATGAATTTACTTTTACATACTAAAATACTAGTTTTACATTTTACAATACGAAGTTTTTAAAACATTTCTCCCTGTCGACTTACCTAAGTTAGGAGATGACACGATCGTTTTGCTTGAGTTATAATGACGTTGCTATATTCTACTACTACTAACTCTTATATAAGTGCATTGCCTACTTCTGCCTTTATTCAACATACGCTTATTCAGAATTTAAATTAACTGTTTATTAAATAAATCTGTAATCAAGTAACTAGAATATAGAGTACATTTAGTTCATTATTAATGTTGTTATACATATATCGAATATGAACAAAGCTATAAATATAGGCTAAAAAAGTTATTCGTGTTTCGGCGCCGGTCGTCGATTAGTTATTATTGTTATCTCTTGTAAATAGCGTGAAGTTTGCTTCCCAACAACCACACCAACCAAGACACAGACAAACATACACGCACACGCGCAAACAATGTACATTACGTTATAGAGCCACGCTGCAGCTATATTATAGTTGTAGCACGAATTGGTCGCTCTCGGAATAACAGCGTAAAGTAGCAGTTCAATGCTGATCAATGCTGGACCGTAGTACTGGAAATATTTAGGATAAGCCCAAGCATCCACTTACCATTAGGTGGACTGTGTGCACATTTGACACCCTTATTTTGCAAATAAATAAAAACAATTTCCTTTCTGTAGAGTACACATACTAGTCATTACTATACGTAAACTATGAAGCCGTTTAGTCGTATATTAAGCTCCTACGTATTACATGGTGACTAAAGATAACCTAGCGCCATCTGTTGGAACAAAATTATATTAGCGAGCACTATCCACTTAATGTAAATATGCTTTTAGCTTTGTCTCTGCTTCATGATTATTATATAATTTCATTGCTTCATTTATTACAACTCTCTAAGGCGCATTAAAATATTTTTAGTAGTTTTTCCGAATGAGGGCATCGACGACTTTTTCTGCCACCAGGGCGGCGCCACTTAAGAATGAAGTGAAATATTTGACAGATTTCATAACGGTTAATGTTTCTTCCTGAAGCTAGACAAACCAAACTAGAAGTAGAAAAATTATAAAAACATATAAATAATCTGCAAAAATTAAAAAGCAAACTACTAAACCATTGTATTGTGAATTCTCACTCTAGATACCGATTAACTTTTTACAAAGTAATTTATTGTATAATTATAATGATATTGTGTAACCAATAAGTTCACCTCACTAGCAACAACAGTGTAAAGTTATTAGTCCTCTTTGCGTCTACACCAGCATTTCAAACAAGTGCAGTCTTTTCTGGGAGTCACTTTGTGTGGCCAAAAACAACTATAACTTTTCATATTAAACTAGCGAACCGCCCTAGACTTGCACGGGTTATGTCTAGACCTCGATAATCGCGCCATCTACAGGCCATAATTGTGAATCTAAACCATTCTCAAATCAACTTAATCATACACACAAAATTTCGTTCAATCGATCTTGCCATTTAGGAGGACAATCACATACACACAGACGAAAAAAAAAAGAATATTGACAGTTGACAGTCATATTAATATAATAGCTTCAGTTCAAAAACTAATTAACTTTCAAAAAAAAAAACTTATTACATAAAACGTCGTTATTCTAAAAAATCTATCAAATGGGCTCGCTTTAAAACAGTATGAAGTGCTGCTATAAGTTTGTATATTAATGATTAGTTTAACTATCAATACCAACCGTCTACAAAATCGGCTAAGTAACTACTACATAGAAACAGTAACTGCGTTTAAATATCAAAAATGGTTTTTCAGCCCATACGGACACTAGCTTCACGTAAAATGAGTCAAATAAATACTGGTTAGATTCAAAACCGAGTGAGTGCTTGTTTTGTGATTCGGACCTAGTGTAGGTATAATAACAATGATTGTCTCAGTAAAAGCCTTAAGCAGCAATCATTATTTATCCCTGTGACTCACTTCCTCTCTGGCGTAACTTTAACACTATGACTTCCCTTTTTACACTACCTTCCGATGTAATCACCCTGTTGTTAAATTGGCTAGGGAAAGTGTTTTATCTTTAATGTTCAAACTGAAATAGCTTAACGCGCTAGACCCTGCAAAAAATGATTATACGGGGTGTTTTTGAAACGCTCCCGATAACGCAGACAGATGATATTACCAACGATACCTTTGAGCTTGGGACCAAAAAAAATGGATCCTAATAAAATATACTACTAAAAATATACTGGGTGGTGGGGGGGGTGTATTGTTGCTGTTCGAGATTGTTATTCTGTTCGGGTTGTTACTGACATTGATCGTATGACTAATGACAAAGAATGAATATTTGTAATTATTAATTGTAAAAATATCAAAATATTATGCTGTCTTGTATACTTCCCTCCGAACGATGACGATCGATATTTAAATGTTTTGGCCCGTATTGAAAATGTTATTTTTAC